TCCTCATTTCATTAAAATATGTTATTGATACTGATGGCTGTAGGCAGGAAGGATCTCTTGTAAAGGTCCATCCCACAGTGGATCCTAAGAAACAGATGCCGTCTGATCCATCCACCCAGACTCGGCTGGCTTCTCGGTTCCCCCAGGTTGTAGGACCGCCCGAATGCCGGGCAGAACTCCTCCCAGAGCGATGGCCACTCCTCCCAGCAGTCTGCCGAGCTCCTTGTTGCTGCGGACAGCCAACTGTAGGTGTCGAGGGACGATCCTGTCCTTCCGCTGTCATGAGCCGTGTTTCCTGCTAGTTCCACGATCTCAGTGGTCAGGCACTCGAGCACAGCTGGCAGGTAGATGAGAACGCATCCACAGAGCATCCTTTTCAACTCATTTGATATTTGGTTTGTAGACATGGTTTGTCCCTTGTGTTTTCTTTGTATTCTTATATCTTTATTTTCATTTTATGTTTTTGTTTATTATCATCCTGATGTCTGACTCAGTGTTTCTCTGTTATTCTCCACTCACTCCTCAGCTTGTCTCTCCAGCCTCTAATCATTCACACCTGTCCTTAATCAGCTACCTGCCAGGTGCACTCATTTCCTGCTCTTCCTCTGCCTTATTTAAACCTCTCCTTTGCACCACTGACCCATCTGATCGTTGTTCTGTGTTCCACAGACGTCCCGGTCCTCCTCTGTCCGTTTCCCTCCATTCGGTTAGCTGCCTTGTTCAGTTTATTCTGATGTTCCGTCCTGTACCAGCTCGCCTGTTGTTCTGTTCAGCACCTGTAAGTTCTTTGCTGCCTCGCCAGCCTTTTGTTTTGAGTTTAATAAATTATTTTATTTAAACTCCTGCTCTCTCTTTTCTGCCTGTGGGTCTGAAACCTGAGGACTCTGACATTTTAATGCTTCGTTCTGCTTATTTATGCATTTTTCAGTTTTTTATGCTATTTCAGCGACTATAGTTAGCTGTTTTTAATGCTAATTTTAGCTCTTTTTTTGCTAATTCCATGATTTTTGCATTATTTTAACTTTTTCAGCCGAATTCAGCAGCAATATGCTCTCGCCACTTTCTTCTGGTAATTTATGCTTCTTTTTGCTTTAGCTACTTTTCAACTGTTTTTTTTGTTGTTGTTGTTGCTAATTTCAGCTTTATTCATACCATACCATACCATACCAATTTATTTATATAGCACTTAAAACAGCAACAAGGCCAACCAAAGTGCTGTACAAAAGAACACAAACATGCACAGCGGACAGGAAAACATAAAATAGAAATACAGATACAAATAGCAGCAGAAGCTAACTAAAATGGCCAACAGAGTAGAGAACAGACCGGACCAAAACAAATCACACCATGTTAAAGGCAAGCGAATAGAAGTGGGTCTTCAAGCGAGACTTAAAGACTGAGAGTGTGGGAGCCTGCCGGACACTCAGTGGCAACTCATTCCACAGTCGTGGACCTGCAACAGAGAAAGCCCTGTCACCTCTGAGCTTACGACGGGTTTCTGGGACTGAGAGAAGCATCTGGTCTGCTGACCTCAGAGAGCGCGGTGGGACATATGGCTGCAGAAGATCAGTGAGATAGGATGGGGCGGAACTGTTCAGTGATTTAAAAACATACATGAGAATACATATTCAGATCATTTCCACTTCTTTGTGCTCATTTCTGCTTCTTTAAGCTTAATTAGGTAAACGTGTTCCTTCTGCTTTCTTCTGATAATTTAAGCTTGTTCTACTTTTTCAGCTACTTTTTTTTTTTTTGTATTTTTAGCTCATTTCAGCTGTTTTCAGATAACAAGTTTTTGTGGTAATTTCTGCTACTTTCAGACTAATTACCTTCTTTATGCTAATTTGAGCTCGTTGTGCTCCTTTCAGCTTATTTCTGCCACTATTACCTGCTTTATACTAAATTCAGCTTTTTCATCTAATTCCCCCTTTTTTGCTCCTTTCAGCTTCTTTTAGCCTAATTGGGCACAACTGTGCACTCTCCACTTCCTTCTGGTAGTTTAAGCTATACGTTTTGCCTTTTCAGCTATGTTTCAGCAACTTTTTTGCTAATTTCAACTTTATTTAGCTAGTTTCCTCATTTTGGTGCTAATTTCTGCTACTTTAAACCCATTTAATCAAACGTGTTCTTTCTGCTCTCTTCTGCTAATTTAAGTTTGTTTTTCCATTTCATCTACATTTCAGATGTTTTTCTTTTTTGCTGATTTCAGCCGTTTTTAAGCAAGTTTTTCTGCAGCAAGCATTCACTCTGCATTTTCACAGGAAATGCAATTTCTCTAGTTTACAAATGTGATGTATTATTGGAAACACCAGAACAATTTTCACGTATAGACCAAAAACAGTTTAACATAAACGTGCAGTAGAAACTCAAACGGTTGCTTTAGTCTTTAAATGGTTAAGTCTTTCTAAAGAAACAAAATAAAAAATCAAAACCAGCATTTTCTAAAAGAGTGACTATTGCTCATGGCCTTGCGTGCCAGTTTTAAGCAAAGCTCATGCGTGACCTGTTAGAGCTCAAGCGATACGAGTGGTTCTCAGCTTCTACACCAAACGTTAGCTCAAAATGTTTAAAATGAGCTGAGTTAAATGCAGTTTTGTGTTTTCTAAAATGGTTTTGGAACTGAGTTGTTCATCTAATGTTTGAACAGTTAATCACAGCTATACAACGGAGACAGATTCATTTCTGTTCAGTTAGTCCAGTTCAGAATCAAGTGTTAGCTTAAATTGCATTTCTTTTGGTTGTGAAAAAAATTCAGGAGTACAATTTTTATGCAAAAACATGAAACGGCCTACATAAAGTGTTAGCAGAGCTGCAGTTGGGACTTCAGAACTTTTCATTTTGGGAAGCAACACTGAGAAATAATTCACTTCAGTCGTCATGTGATGTGGATCCTTTATTATACCATACCAGCTTTATTTATAGAGCACATTAAACACCTACAGGACCAAAGTGCTGTACACACAACAAAACAATTATACAGTCGGATAATAAAATGATTCAAATGATTAAAAGTCAGATAATAAAAGTTGTGTAAACAACAATACAATCAGATAATACAAGCGGTTAAAATGATTAAAAGTCAAAATCTCAGATGGTGTCAAAGGCCACGGAGAAGAGATGGGACATTAGACATTTTAAGTGGTTTGGAAAACTGGATATTTCATTAAATCAAACACTTTTACGGGTCCATGAGCTAATGAAGGCAACTGTTTTTTACATGTGGGGTTAGCAAATAGATTCTGTCCTGTTTTCAGAGCTCAGTTAAAACAAGTGACTTGGAATTTCATTAGTGGTTTTTATAACCAAAAATAAGTAAGCACATAGAATTTTTTTTGTGTGTAAATTTATCTTGCTTGAGCTATTATAACACTGCCAAGAATAAAATGGATTCCTGCCATCTTAAAACAACTCCCATCTCAAAAACTTCACAGTGATTCATACGAACAATATTTTACACACTTTTACTTGGCTGTCGATTTCATGTTCTACAGCTTTTTACCAAAGTTCTACAGTTATTTGCACAGATAGTAGCAGCTGTAGTTTGCAATTTAGAGCACTTCTTGTTGCAATGCAAAACTGATAGCAACATAAGGATTAATAACAGCATCCATCTGTCCATTATCTTTACCTGCTTCTTCCTTTTCGGGTCACATGGGTCACTGGTGCCCATGTCCAGCAGTCACTGTGCAAGAGGCGGGGGACACTCTGGACGAGTTGCAAGTCCATCACAGAGACACATAGAGACAAACAACCATTCACTCTAGGGACAATTAGAGTTACCAATCAGCCTAACATGCATGTTTTTGGTCTGTGGGAAGAAACCGGAGTAAACCCGGAGAAAACCCATGCATGCACGGAGAGAACATGCAAACTCCACCCAGAAAGGTCCCAGGCCAGGATTTGATCCGGCGACCTTCCCGCTGAGGCAGCAGCTCTACCAACTGTGCCACCGTGCCGCCCAATAACAGCATTTGTGTGAACATTTTTAGTTTTTAATTGGCATTAATTCACTTTGGCCTTGACCTCACTCAGATAGCTCATCAATTCAGTCAGGAATAAACATCTTGCCGGTTCAACAAACTGATCGTATTATTCCATCGACCCCACTTCAAAAGATTTGAACTCTCAAATGGTTGCTCAACTTTTTTTTCTGCATTCTCAGGCCAGTAGTGTCTAAACACCACACATCCAGAACAAACAAAAACAAAAGCATCTGCTGATGATGAATCCCTCCAAAAAGGGGGGTGGGGGGAATAAGTGGGAAATACCTGTTTGTAATTTGGGTGAACTGACCCTTTTAGCAAGAAATTCCACATTCAGGCTTGTGGTGTCTGAGCCTGAGAAGAACCAGTGTGGTGGTGTTGTGCAGCTCATGGGGGTCTGGGAGGCGGACAGGAGCCAGAGCCGCAGTGCCGGAGGTGGGAGGCAGATTTGGTTACAACCCGACCCACCTCCGAACCCCCAACCCCCCCGGGCGATCCGAGTGGAGGTCTGCTTCTCACACCAGGCCAAGCCATATTTCACCATGTGGTATGAACCTGCAGACCTGCCCAAAGGATTTCAGCACTCCTAATGATGGAAAATTAACGCTCCACTGAACGGAGCTAAATGCCTCTACTGACATCCACCCCCCACCCCCACCCCCTACTATTTACAGTGCTCCAAAATGGATCACTCAGGGTGTGTTTCTGCTGATTCAGTGCGTAATGAGGAAAACCTGTCAGACATATTCTGTTATGATTCCATGCGGGGCAGGAATAAATGGAGGAAATCTGTCAAAAAAAAAAAAAAAAAATTTTTAACCACTGAGCCACAATTAAACATCATTAAGTCGCAGAGTTGAGCGTTTGAGAGCCCGAGAAGACAAATTTGTCTCCCGTGTTCACTTGACACCAGGAAACCAAGTTTGCTGAATTGAAAAAAAAAAAAAAAAAAAAAGCTGCAGACTCCTCCCATGATGTCTGGATGAAGAGGTCTAGATACCAGCAGGGCCTGACCACTGACAGACGCCTCATCCTGACGCGCAACAAAGCCTGAAGAATTTTATTTTTTCAGTTTTACGCACAAACAAAATGAGCTTCATCTCCACCGTGACCCTTTTGTGGGCGACATCAATTCCCTGCATGCAAGCCATCCACGGACTGTACAACTTTGGCCAGCACGATTTATTCTACAAAAAGAACAACTGCAAGCAGATTCCCACCAACCTCCTGCTTTGCCACGACATAGAATACGCGGAGATGCGCTTGCCGAACCTGCTCGGACACGAAACTATGGATGAAGTCCTGCAGCAGGCTTCCTCATGGATCCCACTAGTCCAGAAGCAATGTCACCCAGACACGAGGAAGTTCCTCTGCTCGTTGTTCGCTCCCGTCTGCCTGGACGACTTGGACGAGCCCATCCAGCCGTGCAGGTCCCTGTGCGAGAGCGTCAAGCGGGGATGCGCGCCTGTGATGTACGCGTTCGGCTTTCCGTGGCCAGAGATGTTGGACTGCGAGCGTTTCCCGCTGGACAACGACCTGTGCATACCACCTGCCAGCGCGGAGAACGTCGTGCCTGTCACCAAAGAGGGTGAGGTTCTTAAAAACCCTGATTTGGAGCAATTTTTACCATCCGGACCTTGTGCGTAAAGGCGACTCCAAGCGCGCCCTATGGAAATAACGGGCTGCTTGTGTTCAATTACTGGAGCTCGTGTAAAGTTCCTCTCATTCTATTTGTCTTTCAGTGCCCAGGGTGTGCGATGCTTGCAAAGAAACAGAAGAAAATGACAACGAAATCGTTGACAACGTGTGCAAGAATGATTTCGGTGAGTACCCATGCATAGTCCTGCAGATTAAGGGGTCCAGGGGCCCCCAGGAGGTCAGCAAGGATGACTCAGAGACATTCAGGCAGCACTTAGCATTTCATATCAAATTGCATATATTTGTCAGATGGCACACAGGCAGGGACATTTCATTCATTCAACCTTTATTTATACAGGTTCTTCTCATTGAGCCTCGAGAACTCATTTACAAGAGATACCTGTTCATAAAAGGGTTCAGACACTTAGTTGAAAAGGTTTCAAGTCTTTTTTTTAATACACTTTCCTTGTATTTACTCAATAAAACTTGAGACACCAAAACTAGCTATGTAACAAAACCACTTGGTTATATTTTGGAATCAATGCTGCCTCTTAGATAAAGTTTAAACATAAAAGCTTCCAGATTCCTGATGAAATGTCAGACAGCCAATCCAGCAACGGTTCCCCAAGTGTGGGTCATGACCCCCTAAACAGGTGGGGATCTTGAAATGATTTCTACAAATATATTTATAAATGATTGCAGGTTATGTTGTTTGTAAAATGAATGTCGTTTATTTGGATTATCAGTAGTGATTTTGTACTTCGGCAAGCAATAGTTGGGGTCACAAGTCTCTGAAAGTCATATTTTTGGGGACAGAAAGGGAAAACTTCAAGAATTACTGCAACAAGATGTTGGAGATTAAAAAGATTTAAATCCCACTGATCTAGTGTTTATGAAAGTTTAACATTGCTTTTTTTTCTTAGTTTACTGGAACCCAAGAGAGAAGTTGCCTTGAAATGCATTTTTTACAATAATAACTTGAAATATGAAGTTATTTCTCTCACTGTCTTTAATAAAACCCATGTTGTTGTGATGACAGTTTATTGTGTCATTTTCTCAAACATGTCTTTCCTCAAAATAACTAGATACAACTGTTTAATTCAAGATAACAGAATAAAAGCAATTATGTTGATGATTGCTCATTCTTTTTTTTTTTTTTTTTGTATCTCTCCTGCGTGCATCTCAAGCTCTGAAAATCAAAGTAAAGGAGATTTCATACGTCAACGGTGACACCAAAATTGTGCCGGAGACCAAGAGCAAGACCATCTACATGATGAACGGTGTGACGGAGCGGGACCTGAAAAAGATGGTGCTGTGGCTGAAAGATGGACTGAGGTGCATCTGTGAGGAGATGAACGACATCAACGCTGCCTACCTGGTCATGGGCCAGAAGGTGGATGGCCTTCTGGTGATCACCTCCCTGAAGCGCTGGCAAAAGGGCCAGCGTGAGTTCAAGAGGATTTCACGCAGCATTCGTAAGATCCAGTGCTAGAAAGGAGAGAAGGAGAAAGTCGATGATCGAGATCGAGTTTATTCGAGTCCTTCCCTTTGTGTCCTTTTTTAGTCGGCAGCTTTGGGTTCTGCTCTAGAGTGTAGCTGATTCCCAAAAACACAACTTACTGTTTCTTCTATTGATTTCTTATTGAAAACACATATATAATTATGAGGCACGTGCAGGATTACATAAATAAAACACATCATCTAGACAAAAACACAGATTTAGTTGATGTTATAACCATAACTCACGTGGACTTGTTGATGTTGACAAAGCAACAAAAAGATCAACTTTTCTCTCTTTCACTGTCATTTCTGTGTTGAGCTACCGCCCCCTAGTGGTCAATTGGTGTCCTTTTATAAAGAGTCAAAGTCTACTTAATGTCAATTTCATATGTAGACATACAAAACAATCAAAATTACATTTCTCACCATACCCCAACTTACAAAAATCACATCACAATAATAGTAACAATAGTAATAAAAAAGTTTTTCCTTAATCCATAAAAAAACACAACAATAATATTTTTTTTTAAATCCCACAAGCCAGATACCATATACAATTTAAAAACACAACTTTTTATATAGTTAACAACTTAGATAGATAGAACTCGTGGGAGAGAATTCAGCCTCCTCACAGCCTAGATGGAGGAAACTGTTTGACAATCTTTTAGTGCGTGCACGAAGGCTTCTGTACCTCTTCCCAGAAGGCAGAACTTCAAACATGTAATGTTCTGGATGACTTACGTCATTCACTACTGTGATTGCTCTGCGAATAAGTCACTTAGAGTATATATCTTGCAGTGATGGAAGTGGAACACCAATTATCTTCCCAGCTGTATTTACAATATGTTCCTTCCTACAGGCAGCAGTATAGTTTCCACCCCACACTGTAATACCACTGGAAAGAAAGCTCTCAATAGTACCACAATAAAAAGTTCTCAAAACGAATGTGGATGCCCCAGCACATCTAAGTTTATGCAAAAAATATAAGCGTTGTTGAGCTTTCTTCACTAATGCTGTAGTATTGATGGTCCAAGAAAAGTCCTCAGTGATATATACCCCCAACAATTTGGTACTGCTCACCCTCTCCATTAAAACATCATCTATAGTCAATGGATGATGCTGACTATGCCCTTTTTGAAAGTCAATAATGATCTCTTTCATCTTGCTAATATTTAACAAGAGATTGTTTGTCTTACACCATTTTGTCAACAGATTTACCTCCTCCCTATAGAGATTCATCATCCGCAGTGATGAGACCCACCAAGGTTATATCATCTGCAAACATCACCATACGTAGGATGAACTGTATTACAATCATGTGTTAGCAGGGTAAAAAGCAGTGGACTGAGTACGCAGCCCTGGGGGTCCCCAGTGTTCAGTATAATCCTGCTCAAGATTTTATTTCCTGTACTACTTGTGACCTCTGACTGAGAAAATCCTAAACCCAGTTGCAGAGAGATGCACTGAACCCCAACTTATCTAGTTTTTTGTCTAGAGTAGTGTTTTGATCACTGTGGATGGTGTAAAATGCACTCTGCGGGTGTTTAAGGTGGATGAAACTGACAAATTAATTAGGTAAAACATGTAAAATGTTACATGGTTGAAAACAAAACTAGAACAGTTAAGCATTAAAAGTATATAACTAATGTAGCCACGTCCTTTAAAAAGGCAGTCAACAGATGTCTTCTTTCTCCTCTGAGGCTCATTGGGGGTTAAATCCCCATATTCATCTTTTTAAGTAATAATTTTAGATAAATAACTCAATTGAGAACGATAATAGCTTAATGTAGATGCAAACTGAGTAAATGTGTAATTCTTGTGTATAGATCAAAGTTCATATACAATTTTTTTTGTATTTTTTTATTATTATTCCCTCTGCGTACTCATGCAAAATGAGAGATAGCTGGCTATATTCTCTTTCTCTTAATCACTTTTTTTCATTTTCAAAAGCTTTTTTTTATTTGAGGAACTGCATTTCTTCGTTCAACCTTATATAGACAAACTTTTTTCCTTCTACTTCGCATTCATATTTCATATTTTAAACTTGTTTTGATTTGCATCAACTACATTTACTTGAGAAAAACCAATATATTTTTAAAGACATATCTCTTTTTTTGGTGAGTTTGATGAACAGTGAATTGTTAAGTGAGTTTGTGTGTGTACATGTATAGAGGTATTATAAAAAATATTACAGTGTAAATATGGAATACTGTCATTTAAACTGGTATAATGTGTTGAGTAATTAAAAGCTGCCAATAACATGTTTGAGATGAGTCACTTTGTTGTGCTTTTGTACATTTAAAATAAATGATTCACTGTCACAAATATATATATATATATTTGTGACAGTGAATC